ACTGTCGAACCTTCAACAATAATAGTTGGAAATAAAGAGGCCTACCTATTTTGCGCTTCTCGTATTACAGTGCAGTTCAGTTCTATTCCCCCACGTTTGTTCAGGATCAGAGTGCGTGCAGAGCAACCAACTGGTATGGCCACATCATTAGCACACAAATATTGAAGGAAATGCTCCACCTCGCCATCTGTCCTGGACTAAAGACACTATACATATAAGTGAGTGCTATCACATCAGTGGCGGATCCAGGACTTGACCTAGGGGGGAGGGGGGCGGAACCCCCGTGCTCCTCCCCTAGGATCCGCCACTGCACTTACCCTTTTACACTCTAACATAAATATTCATATTATCCACACGGTAGATTTCAGTAACAAACACAGCTTTCAATCATTACAGACCTTGCAGTTAAGTGCGACTCACTAACCGACCAACCACAGCGCGCTTTATAACTGAAGGTAAGTTGTAGAATTACCTCGATTTCAAACAGACCAAGAGCGGTCAGGTCCACCACTGCTACCCCATCAGTACAAGATTTGTACTCTACTTCTGTACAGCCGAGCCAGCCGGGTTTGCCAAACCCATTCTCAATGGGGTGGTCTAGGTGTGAATAAGCATAACTCAGCGATATGCATGCAAACTTTGATAACAACATTTCAAAAAGTGGGTCGGTTGTTCAAGGAAGCGTTCGAAAGCACATCCAAAGAAATCATGACGTCCACTCACAACTAATGAACGCTTGCACTTCGAACTTTTGTGAAGCGTTAAGCGGCGAAGCAGCGAGAGATTGTTTTCCTCCCAATTTTTTCGGTTCCAAGCCTTTCGTAGCTTTGTGGCTGAGTTTCGCGGTTCGACCAATCAACGCTTCAAAGTGCTCACAAAACCACCAGCTACAGAGGCTACTCGCCATCGAGCGGTCACGGCATACTAGACTAAACCCTTCTTTTACTTTGTTTTTTTGCTTGTTTGTTTGTTTGTTTTTTTATCTCAAGTCAATCGGGAAAACTCAAAAGGTCTAGAAGTACTATTGAAGTACTTTTTGAAGTTAATTTTAAAACAAATGCTTTAGAAGAACACTCAACCCAAAGTAAATTCCAAACGGTTTTGTGGGCGCTTAGAGACGTCGAACTGTGAAGCTGTGTGAGGATTGGGGCTGTAATCGCTTCAAAGCGCACACAAAAGAACCACTTGCGCAGGCTAACTCTAAACTATACTACCTTCACCCGGAAGTGCAAACCACTTGGGAACCTCCCAACCCATCTTCTCGCTCCACGTTGCACCAGCGGCATTTAGTTCTGGGAACAACGGCGAACATCTGAGCCCGCGCGCAGCCTTTCTCTCTGAATACGGGTACCGTAGCAAGTAGTGCCAACTGAGGGTCTCTTTCACGCACTCTCTTAAGAAGCGCTTGTTATTGTGGTGAGGTGCAAAACGACGTATGTCTACACCTGAAAGATCCATTATAGGTTCTCCCTCTGTAATCCAGCCGGCCAAGGCCATCCCAGCTCCTCCCGCGCCAGCGATACCACTGGAATTAAAGCCAGCAGCCACATAGAAATTGCTTACCTTAAAAAAAAATAAGTATTCTCAACAGACAGCAATTGAACCTATCACTTCCAGAAGTGACCAAAGGGGAAATTTTCCTCTTCAAATCGATATAGGTGCAAATGGAAGGAGACGAGAAGACCAGGTATGTCAATAGGGGGGTGAGGGGAGGGGAGGGGAGGGGATGATGCTTGATTTAAAATTAAATCCGTCACTGCACTGAGGGATCACGTGAGATAGCCTAGCGCCTGCGCGAACTCAGTGGGTCGCCGCCTTCGAAAGCGAACTGAAGTCAGCACAAGATTCGATTTTAGAGATTGTCGCTGTTGTCTGTAGAGCGATAATTTGCAAAGAATGCCTGAAAGCAACTAATGTTGAGCAAGAAAGAAAACTTAAAAAGGAGAAATAGTGCTCCTCACAACCAGCATATCGAAGCGAATGTCGAAACTGTTGATGGCGCCAAAATTGAACTACAAGAGTTGACCGCTTCGTTGAAACAGGGATTTACCCAGATGTCTCAGGATTTATCTAAGACTATTGCAGAGTCTTTCAAACTGCTCCAGTCAGAATTTGAGTACGAAGACATGGACGGCGTAGAACAGT